CGGGCCGGGCCAGCCCCGGCATCACCCCGCTCCTGTCCAGCGCCCGGCACTCATTGCGCCCGGTTGAAGCCCACCACCCGGCACGCCCCCTCCCCTGGGGAGCCCTGCTTCCTCCCCCTCCTCCCTGAAGGGGAGGGGACACAAAGCCGGTGAAGGGGGACGCTTCCATATCCAGGGCTGGGAGTGCCCACCTACCATTTTCCCCCCACCAGGCACCTCCTCACCAACTTCTCATCTTCCTCCTCCTCCTCCTCCTCTTTCTGGGTTCCCTGCTCGGCGACGCCCATGACGAAGGCCATTGGGCCGCCGATGGCGGAAACGGAGTCCCCATTGGTTCCTATAGACGTCGCTCTGGAAGAAATGCCTCCCCCCCCCTCTCCCGTGAGCTACGGAAGGGGAAAGGGAGAAAAGACGGAAGGAAAACCGCGGTTGAGCCGGGCTTCCTCCGTGGCTTCATGGGAAATGTAGTACGTTCGGGAAAGGGAATCGTGGGTCTCTTTTTTTTCATAAACTCAACATTTCCCCCCACGTCTTATCAGGGACCTTGTTTGAGATGCATGGGAGTTGTAGTTCAATGTATTTGAAATATACGTTTGGGCAAAACTGGAGGCGCCTTTTACCGCCTTTTCATGCTCGTAAATTTCTAGTGGCGTTTTCCGATGACTGTTGAAATATATGATATTGATATCTGACTCTACTGATAACAGGTTGTGGAGGGCTTGGTAATGGCCAAGATGATTTAAAAGAGGACTAGAAACACGTGTAGAACTCTAGTTTACTAATGGCTATGAATTCTAATAGCTGTGTTGTAAAGGACTTTCAGAGTCAGGCAATGATAGGTAAAATACCGTCTTTTCTGGAAAATTGGGAAAGGACTCCAGTCTGTCTGCTTAGACTGCATAAGTGCAGGATGCATCTTGTAACAAATAAGTTATTTACTTATATTGATATACAGTACATAGTCTATTCTCACTCAGGTCTTTGGGGAGGAAGACTGGCCATCTTTTTACCTTGAAACTTGGTTGATTTATGTAACCCTGAAAGTAATATAGATATGCAGGCGTTTCTAGATAACAGCAGGTAGCCGATTTTGACTATTAGAAAACTAGGCAAGGATGAATCTGGTTAGCACTGAGGAAAGGAAAAGGAAGCTGTGCCCTTTAAGGAAAAAGGCAAAGTTCTTTCCTTTTGTGGATTTAAATTTCCCGGCTGGGAGATTTTACTGCAAAATCATTTGGTCAGCTGCATTGGAAGCCAGAATCAGTTTATTAATAGGAAGGCAAATAAGAATAAACCCTACAGCGTTCCTGAGATTAATAAGTGAGTAGGAAAACCTCTTTCTTATACACTTCAGGTTCTTTGATTTGTAGGTGTGAATCTTTGAAGTCTTTGATTTGTGTTCGAGTTCCTGTTTCTTGAGATTGGGATCTCTTCCTGGGATCTTGGTAGGAGTAATTGTTTTGTTGTCCAAACTCTGTTTTTCCGTGATCCTTTGTAGCTATCAGTTTGCACCTGGTTGCAATATACTGACTTTCCTGTTATGCTGTTTGCGTTTCACAATTTTTTTGTAGCTTGCTATCTATTTGATTTCTATGGGAAAGGATCCTAGTTAATGTGTGTCCCATGCAAAGGTGGGGGCTAATGGAGCTGTCCCTGCTTGTGTTTTCACCTCTCCTTTCTTTTAGGGGAATTTTCCTTCCCCTTCTAATGTTTTAAGATTTCTTTTCTTTTCCTAGAAGAGAGGGGAATCGTAACTTCCAACAGCATTTTGATCACCACCAGAAATCTCAGAACCATAGATTAGATTGGGAACCCCCAAAAAGCAGGTACAGGCAGTCCTCAACTTATTGAGCCCCAAATTTCTGTTGCTGAGACGGTTGTTAAATGAGTTTTGTCCCATTTCATGACATTTTTTGACAGCAGTTTATTGAACCACGGCAGTTATTAAGTTAGTAAGAGCCGTGGTGTTGCAGTGGTTAGAATGTAATATTGCAGGCTAATTCTGCTGAGTTTGAATCTCACCGGCTCTAGATTGACTCAGCCTTCCATTCTCCCGAGGACCTAGATTGTTGGGGGCAATATGCTGACTCGGTAAACTGCTTAGAGGGCTGTAAAGCACTACGAAGAAGTACATAAGTCTAAGAGCTATTGCTAGTGCTATTGCTGGAAGAAATATCCTTCTGGGTTCAGTTCCAAGTGGGAAAAAAGACACTGGATTCATGGAGGTTGCTTGGAAAGGTTTATTGATGAACAAGATCACATGCCTTGGAGATCCTGGGTGAAGAAAAAAGGGAAGAGATGCTGAGAGTCCCTGGGTTTTATACCCTCTCTGGCTTTGAACTTCCTGAGGCACAGGAAGAGTATTCTGATTGGTTGCTGTCAGAGGTCATAGCTAGCTTTTTAGGTTGTCTGTGTGCTAAGTTTGGTTGAAACTTGCTGGGTGATGCAATGAAGGGCAATGAAATGGCTCTGCCTGAAGGAGGTAGGTCTTTGTTATGTAAAATAGACTGGCCCAGGTCTTAATGGCCCATTAACAAAGGTGGGGGAGGGCTGAGTTTCTGCCTTTTTGAGTTTCTACTTCTCTTTTAGGGGAAATATTCTGCCTTTTTAATATTTCCTAGAATATTTCATTCTTCTAGGAGAGGGGTCGGAGCTAACTTCCTACACTAGTAACGGTTGTTAAATGAATCTGGCCTCCCCATTGATTTTACTTTTCAGAAGGTTGCAGAAAATGATCAAATGACACCAAGGACACTGCAACAGTCATAAATATAAGCCAATTGCCAAATGTCTGAATTTTGATCATGTGACTCTGGCAATTTACAAATGGGCCTCTGAAAAATGGTCTTAAGTCACTTTTCCAGTTACGGTAATGTGCTTCACAGCAGGTATTTTTTCAGAACACCCATGCTCTATTACATATACTCCTTGACTGATTATCACAATTGACCATAAAACATCCGTTGCTAAGCAAGACAAATGTTAAGTGAATTTTGCCCCATTTTACGACCTTTCTTGCCACAGTTGTTAAGTGAATCACTGTAGTTATATTAGTAACATGGTCAATCAGGCTTCTATTTCAAGTTGTTGGCTTTCGCCCCAACACCTTATAGACTTTTTTATTGACTATATGCCTAATATATTCTTTAATGAATATATGCCTAAAGTCAATGTTCTCAATGACAATCTATCCCTAACTTGGTCTTTCAGGTCTTCCAATATTGCCCCCTTTGTCACTGTAACTGAGTCCATTTCTCTTCCTGCTGATCAATCTCTTCTTTCATTCCACTTTTCCTAGTATTAAGAGTCTTCTCCAGAGAGTTGAGTCTTCAATAATACTATATTTATAGTTCAGGGTTGAACATGGTTGAACTGGGAATCCTTGGTGCTCTCTGAGGTGGATATTTTCTTGCAGATGTCTCATTATCCAGCTAGGCAACACCTTCAGTGATAGAAAGGAGTGGGGTTTGCTGCTCTCTGTTCATATATAGTGAGTGTGTTGGTCAGAATGTTGTTTTCTTCATGGTAGTTCCTCAATTACACTGTTGTTTACTGATCGTTGTGTGAGCAAGGGATATTGGGGTATTGTTTATTGCTTGATTGTTGGTCTAGTATTAATCCTGATGGTAATTTTGTTGTAAACTACTCTGGATGTTTTTACAAAAAGATAAGAGATAAGTCATGATTATAAGAGCTCCCCTGGGAAGAACAGCAGTGTAAAACATAACACCATCAGTAAGACCACACCTATTCCAGTTTTGTTCACCACATTACAAAAGAGATGTTGAGACACTAGAAAAAGTACAGAGAAGAGCAACCAAGATGATTAGGGGACTGGAGACTAAAACATACGAAGAACGATTACAGGAACTGGGCTTGGCTAGTCTAGTAAAAAGAAGGACCAGGGGAGACATGATAGCAGTCTTCCAATATTTGAGGGGCTGCCACAGAGAGGAAGGAGTCAAGCTATTTTCTAAAGCGCCTGTAGGCCAGACAAGGAATAATGGATGGAAACTGAACAAGGAGATATTTAACCTGGAAATAAGGAGAAACTTTCTGACAGTGAGAACAATCAACCCATGGAACACCTTGCCCTCGGAAGTTGTGGGAGCACCATCACTTGAGACTTTCAAGAAGAGATTGGACTGCCATCTGTCAGAAATGGTGTGGGTCTCCTGCTTGGGCGGGGAGTTGGACTAGATGTCCTACCAGGTTCCTTCCAACTCTGATTATCTGTTATCTGTTACCATCAAATGAGGAAAGCATCTGCTATGTAAGGAAGACAGTTACATCTCAACTGTAATTGCCTCTCAAAATTGCTTATTATTTTTAAATGGATCACTTTGACTATTTTTACAAAAAAACAACTATGTAAATGGAAAAAATAAATCTAACAAAACTAAATGGAGGCTGCACTTTCTCCCTTTTAAACAAAACTAAGTCCAACTCCATTTCTCTTTGCCTAATCCACTCAGACCCAAATTGATCTTTCCTGTCCCCTGTAATCCCACCAAACAATAAAAGCTTGCTCACAAGTATCCCCCAAGGACAGCCTTAATAAGGGAATTGCAACCTATGTAGTAAGGCGAGAAATTCCTTAACATTCTGTCCTCACTCAGCCTGATTATCTCAACATTACATCTTCTTAACAAGGATCTTGTCCATCTCTGCTGGTCTCCTGAAAAGATCACTTTATCTAACAATCTAGGTACATAGACAAGGACCTGCCTACTACCCCAAACTGATCCTTAGCACTTCCAACTTTGCAGCCTTCAATTTCTATAAAAATCTTTGTTTTCCCATTGTTCAAGGTTCCTCTTTCTTGCAAAACAGCTATGCAAAACATCATTCCAAGAATTCTCCATAGTATTGTACTGTAAACTTCTGAATTTTCCATGACAACTAAGATCTAAATCTAGACAAAAAAAACCCAATTACAAGATAAAAGGAGCACAAAGTTTTCCAGAAAAATAGCAAGTTTAATATTTTCATCTTACTCATTTTTTAAAACAAAAGGACACATTTATTTTGAAGTTTGAAACAGGTTTATTCCTTCTTGGAGATATTTTAGATTCACAATCCAAATAGGGACCATTATAATCACCCCTGTGTGTAAAGGATGCCTTGTAGAACTGCGTACCATATTGTAGCATTTTCTAACAAGAAAAAGAACTAATGTGTCAAGCTTCCAACTTTGTTTGAAAGGGTCTCACTAGAGACAATTTTAATGAGACAGAGATTTTCTGCCTTTCAGCATCCTTCGAAGGATCACTTCGATCCCATTGGCTGTGCGGATACGTCTAATCCATCCATGTTTGTGCTTTCGCTTGATATTTGATGGCTGATACTCATTGCCTCGGCTTCTTGGACGAATCTGCTGGTAGTTCCAGGGCACAACCGGCCTAGGAATGCTTTGGAAAGCATTGACAGACTCTGCTGACCGAAAGGAGTTAAGAATCTGTCGCCATGGGGTGGAAACAGCAGATGAGATTCCACGCTGCCAAAAGAGAGAGGTCATACTCCGTGCACCAACAGGAGAAATCTGGGAAAGAGAAAGGGAGAAATCAAAATAATAAAAAAATATTGTAAAGATCTGTTTTTTTTTATTCTGCTTTTCCTCTTACGTTCTGAACGGTATTAAAAATTCCTCTCTTGCTTGACAGCCTTACAAGGTTGAGAGTATGTTTGCTTGTGTTATTGCACAAGGATTTTCTTATCCTAACCATCCTTTGCTGATGCCTAAAGTAAGTAACTCTGAGAATGAAGAGGGAAAGAGGGGGCTATAAAACTTGCCCATGAAATCAACCCCATTGTCAGTTATGGATGAGTGACCCTGAAGTTGTAAGTAATTAATGGGGTCAATTTAAATAAACGTGATGCTGTTTGTTTGTGTCCTGGCATCTCCTTTAATACCCTCCTCCTCCTCCTGTGTCCATCCTGCAAACTCTCAACTAATTGACAGTACAAGAATTAAAAAAAAAAACATAGAAGGGGATACCTTGGGTTAAGCATGGATAGGAATGGGCGTTGGTAGAAGTTACCCTGAACGCCCTTTCTATCTATGCTGCGAGAGAGCCCAGGATGGGTTGACTCCTTCCTATGACGTCATTTAGCTGAGTCTGCACTAAGATATAAAAGCCAGCCCCTGGAAGAGACCCCAGCTTTGGCGAAGATACTTGACAGACTGAAAGGTGTCTCTGAAAGCACAAATGAATACAGAAATATGACTTACCCTCTCCGGACGAATCAAGGGAGGGGCTGGGCTCTCTCGCAGCATAGATAGAAAGGGAGTTCAGGGTAACTTCTACCAATGCCCATTCTCCTCCACGCTGCATCGAGAGCCCAGGATGGGACATACCAAAGCTGGCATGTCCACGGGCGGGTCCTCGTCCGGCTCATCACACCAACTATTAAACCACTCGTTGAAGCACCTGTCTGCTGAAGTTGCAGTTGCTGAGGCAAAGACATCCAGATGGTAGTATCTGATGAAAGGAGATGGAGATGTCCATGTGGCCGCACGACAGATCTCCTCCAAGGGTGCTTGGGTTGCCCAGGCAGCCAAAGTGGCCGCGTTTCTGATAGAGTGCACTGTCAGACCTCGAGGAACCGGAAGGGCCACAGCTTTGTAGGCCTGCTCAATGCAAGATCTGACCCACCTGCTAATAGTAGGAGAAGAGGCCTTGTGCCCCAAGTGAGAAGGGAAAAGGAAACAAAATGGCTTCCGACTTCCTGAAGGAGGAAGTACGCTTAATGGATATTCTAAGAGCCCTACCTACGTCTAGTGTGTGCCACTGCTGCTCTAAGTCATGGTGTGGGAGGGGGCAGAAGCCAGGAAACATAATGTCCTGGGACCTGTGGAACAGGTGTTAACCGTTGGAATAAATGAGAGGTCCAGACTGAGGACAACCCTATCATCATGAAAGGAACAAAGGTCCTGTCTGATGGAAAGAGCAGCAAGGTCGGATACCCGCCTGGCTGAAGTGATGGAAACGGGGAACACTACCTTCAGAGACAGGAAATGGAGAGACAATGTTCTAAGGGGTTCAAAGGGGGGCTTTGTAAGGGCATTAAGGACCACATGAAGATCCCAGGAAGGATACCTGTGAACCACCGGTGGGTGCAGGTTGGAAGCCCCTTTCAAAAACCTCCTGACTGAAGAGTAATGGGATAAGGAAGGAAGCGAACCCCATGAAAGAACCGAGGAGAGGGCCTCAACCTGCCTGCGTAAGGTTTTGGGGGCCAAACCTTTCTCCAGATCATGCTGAAGGAATCTAAGAACTTCTGCCAACTGGGCTAAAGCAGGAGAGAGAGACCCTCCCTAAGGCACCATCGGGAAAGGGCCTTCCAGGTGGCATCATAGATGCACCTTGTGGAAGGTTTGCGAGATGCCAGGATAGTGATGATGACCCTTTCAGGAAGATCAGCCACCTCTAGCCGCTGCCGCTCAAGTGCCACATGGTTAGCTTGAGCCACTGGGGCTCCGGGTGGAGCAGAATCCCCTGATGAAGGGAGATTAGATGGGCTGGGATCCTCCAAGGGGAGAAGCCACTGATAGGTTGACCAGGTCCACAAACCAGGGCGTCCTTGGCCAATAGGATGCCAGGAGGAGGAGCTCCGCTCGTTCCTCCAACATCTTCCGAATTATTGCTGGAATGATGGGGAGCGGGGAAAAGGCATAGAGGAGACTTTTGGGCCATCTGCACTGAAGGGCATTGGTCCCCTCCGCTCCCTGGCAAGGAAACCTGGTGAAGAATCTGGTAACCTGGGCGATTTAAGGAGTGGAGAAGAGATCCACCTCCAGCATTCTGAATCTGAGGGAAAGGATCTGAATAAAGACGGAGGAATGGACCATTCTGCCTGGTCGACTAGGCTCCTGCTGAGCCAGTCGGCCTGGGAGTTGTTGATCCCAGAGAAGTGGTCCACCGAGATCAATAACAGGTCTTTCTCTGCCCATAACCCCAACTGTATAGCCTCTCTCATGAGGGCTCTGGACCTCGTCCCCCCTTGCCGGTTGACATGAGCCATGGCGGCCATGTTTTCCATAAGGACTAGAACATGAGAGCCAGTCACTGAGTGCCTGAAATGCTTGAGAGCTAGAAAAATGGCTCTGAGCTCTAGCCAATTTATGGGAAGGGCCTGCTCTGACCTCGACCAAGGTCCTGAGCTATCTGGACCAAGGTCCTGAGCTATCTGGCCCTGCATATGGGAACCCCAACCCAGGAGGCTGGTATCAATGGTTATCACTAGCCTGCCTGAGACCCTGAAAGGAGTCCCTTCCAGATTAACGGGGAACACCACCAATTGAGAGATCTCCGGACTTGTGGAGGGAGCGGGACCTTGATGGATGAGTGGCTGGTTCCTGCCCATTGGTAGGGAAGCAGGAACCATTGGAGTGGACGGGAGTGGAAAAATCCATGGCTCTGGAGATATGACAGGGTAATTTGCAGATCCCGACGGGCTGCATGGAGGAGGACAGAATTAAAATGTTGTCCAAGTAGCATTGGATCCTCACTGGAACAGAAAGCAGAGATGCCATCAATGCTGCCAGAACCTTCGTGAAGACCCTTGAAGCCGATGAGAGGCCGAAGGGAAGTGCTCGATACTGGTAATGGGTATTCTGATAACAGAAACGGAGAAACTGGCGATGATGAGGCCAAGTGGGGATGTGGAGGAAGCCTCCATGAGATCAATGGAAGAGAGGAGATCGCCCTCCCGAACGCTCTCTAAAATAGAATGCAGAGTCTGCATTTTAAATTGCCTGTATTTTACAAATTGGTTGAGAAATTTTAGATCCAGGATGGTTCGCTACCCCCCCTGAGGCTTTGGGAACGATGAAAAGGCGAGAGTAAGCCCACGTCCCCGTTGAGAGGGGGAAACAGGTTGAATAGCTCTGATTTCAACAAGGTGTTGAATGGCCTGATTTATGAGAGCTTGCCTTGAAATGTCCCGAGAGACAGGACAGATCAAAAAAATTTTGGGGGGTGGCATTAGGAAGTCCAATTGTAATCCTGACCTAATAGTGCTGAGCACACAGGCATCCGCCGTGACTCCTCCCATTTGGAGGCAAAGAAGGCTAGGTGACCTCCGATGGGTGGGGAGAATGAGGGATTACGTAGAGCGACGGAAGGAACGACCCCCACCCTCCTGAAAGGGCTGTTTACCAGTATAAGGAGCTCGGCGATAGTCGGCTCTCTTCCCAGAGGAAGAGAGAATTTTACGTTTATCTCTGGTTTCGATGAGATAAGGTTCCAAAGCATCGCCAAAAAGCTTATCGCCTGTGAATGGAACTGAAGCCAGCTTCCATTTATGGTGTGACTCCGCCTGCCAATTTCTGAGCCATAACAGTCTTCTTGCTGCTACTGAAGATGCCATGGCCCTAGATGCAAATTTGGCGGAATTGAGAGTGGCATCTGCAGTGAATTCCGCCGCTGCGGTAATCTTATTAAGGCCTTGGTGAGACCGAAGGTCAGATGAAGGCAATCTAATCTGGCAGCCACCGTATGGATGACCACGTGAGAGTGTCAGTAGATGAGACCGAGGCCAGAACCGGAATGTCAACAGAAGGCACTGCCAGGGTATTGTCCAGGGTTGCGCTGATGTTGTAGAAACGCTTATCCAGAGAAGTTGGGTGAGGACCTGCAGCACACTGTTCCTTGACCATGTCCAGGAACAAAGTGGGAGAAGGCAAAACCCCTGCATGCACTACAGGCTTGGAGAAGAGCGAGTCTCCCTGGCTAGAGGGAATTCCTTGTGGCTCGGGAGCCACTTCCTCTGGCGACAGCTTGGCAGTGACCAAGGCCTTGCTGAGAGAGAAGGATTGAAGACCAATTCAGAGGATGTCTGCTCTGGGCGAGAGTCCTCTCCCTCTGAAAGATTTTGGTCAAAGGTCTCGCCCTCTTCACGTTCTGAACGAGGAGTAACTGTGTTCAGATGGTGAAGCCCTTCCCTCCTCATCAGCCTCCTCCCATTCTGGTAGAGAAGAATGGACCCTGAGGTCCTGGGGCCTGTGTAAATCAGGGTGATGAGGCAAGGAACTTATAGATTGAGAAGGGAGAAGGGCCTGAACCCTTTCCAGAGGTCGAAGGATTTGCTTGAAGCCTTCAGCCAATCCCTGCCTAATGGCCAATGAGACAACATCTTGGATATCCCCTCATCTATGCTCAAAGGTAGAGGCCGAAGGAGTGAAGGTGACTTCAGGCCTAGATTGAGAAGAGGTTCAAGGCCTGGAGGGAGGGGGAGGAGCATAGGGCCCAGAAGCCTGTTGGAAGTAAGGCCCAGATCTGCTTAGATCCTGAGGATCATATTGTTCTGCAAAGGCCTCAGGAGACAGGCTCATAGATAACTTCTCCTCCCCTGGGAGGGCTTGGCTAGGGCCCACGGGTATCACCTGAAACATGCTGTAGTTGCACTCCCTTCTGTTGAATAGTTCTGTTGAACTGCCTCTCCAGGGCTGCATGTCTGCGCTTTTCTGCCCTCAACTCAGCCTGAGTTGCCTTCTTAGGGGCTAGAGCCTTAGCTCTCATTTTAGCAGCCACCTCCCTC